GGGTGTTTGTGACTAAACAAACAATCTTTTTGTGCTGAATTTTGAAACGCCATGATTGAGTTTTTGCCACTTATAATCAAACGTCATGATCTATCAAACACAAAACATAAAATTTACAATAACCTAATATTATTTTGTTATATAATTTAATAAACTTTAATATATAATAAACTAAAAAATGATGGTCCATTACATATTCATTAATCTCGATAATATGTCTTATTTATGTGAAACAGGATCTCATAAATCTCACAAACTGGCTGAATAAAAAAATTTACTAAAAATTATAAAAGTCAAAGTATTGTAATAATTTAGGTTTCTAACGGAAGGAAATTTGAATGTGTTACAAATTAATTCTTTAACTACCATATCATTAATTCAAACATATGTTTTGTATGCAAATAAAATAGGGGAATATTTAAAATTGGGCAACTTTAGATACAATATCTTGTTTTCAATTACCTACTCGGTATTAAACTACATAATTAAAATGCGTTTATATAATGCATTTGAACATATGTGGTCATAAGGGGATTTTTATTCCTCCTTAGATTTGAACTTGAGACCTTAAAGGCATTTTTGACTTTTGGAGCCCAAACTCAAACCAATTAGACATCACTCTTAGGCTAAAGTTCTAAACATTTAAATATAGTTTAGACGATTTTTTAGTGACTATTTTTATTTAGGTTTATAGTTTTCACACATTTGACCAATTTGAGATAAAATATAATTTATGAATAATTATTAACTAAGGATTGTATCAAAAATATATTACCTTTTATAATCGTAGCAAGAGTAAACTACATTTTTCGTTCCTTTGGTTTGATAGAAATTGCGGAGTTCGTCCATGTAGTTTTAAAATTACGGTTTTCATTCCTATAATTTGCAATTTGTTTTGTTTTATCGTCCCTAAGGTTAACTACTACTTTTGCGTATGAATGACTGAAATGGAAATGAATTGATAAATTAGGACATCTCCAACCCAACAGTAAGAACACAAAAATAGAGTTGTGTTTTCATCTTCAACTTAACATTAAAACACTAAAAAAGATAGACGACAATAAAGTAGATCTTCATATTTAAAGGTCAATAAAGTATGTCTCTATTTTTTTATATTAATATTATAATAAGACTTTATATTTATGTATATACATACACACACACATGATGAGAAGTGTAAGAAAATATCTGAACCATTAATCACTTTTAATCTCATGTTCACCTACAAATTACATTTTAGAAAAGAATTGATCTAGTATATCTTGGTGCACCTCATTAGTGTTGATATTCAGATAGAACTAATACAAGGGTGGAGATATTATATATATATATATGTATATATATATATAGGGTATATTTCTTTTACAACCTTGTGCATTTGTACAACCTTTGCAACCCAATTAATTGAGATATTTATAGAAATGATTGGAGTTCATTTATTATGATTTGAATATTTATGGAATATGAATAGAGTTTATTAATTATGATTAATACTTTATATTAGGAAACAATTAATTGATTAAAAATTGAATGGTTGAGATGAGGGTTGTATAGGGTGTAGGAATGGCAAGGGTGTAGAATAACATCCCTCTCTCTCTCTCTCTCTCTCTCTATATATATATATATATATATATAAATAAATATAAACATATATTAGTTCATTGAGGCCAAAGGATTTTCGTGAGACCCGTAAGACCAATTTATGTTCATTGATCAACTTTATAAGCTAATAATCTAATGGTCTAAAGTTGCATCGTGACAATTTTGTGATTATTGAGAAGTCTCGTGACAATTTTATGATTATGAATATTCAGATTATAGATCTAATCTAAGGTTTGAGAATTAGTCTTACGGGTCTCAAAAAGAATCTTTGGTCTCACATGATCCCAGTTCATAGACAAAAATAATGTAATTTTTATAATTATAAAAATGAAAACATATATAATTAATAAATCTATCCTGACTTAAAAATCCATGGGCCTTTTAAGAGAGAAAAATGGTTTAGAAAAATAATATTTTAGAAAAGAAAAATATAATTTTTATTTTGTAATTATCATTTGTGTTTTTCACATACTCTTAAAATTTATATATTAAATGTTAACTAGAAGCGTATCCGTGCAATGCAGCAATATACATCGTGATTTTAATATTTCATTTTATTTTTTATCTCAGTCGATGTTATAATATGACTTTATGTGATTTTGAGAAAACGGTGATGTTTTTATTTCTGAATAAAATATATGTTTGAAAATATCATAAAAATTTGACAAAAATATATCGATATTAGTATCAAATTAACTATTTGAAATTTCTCATTTTTT